CTGTAAAACAGCAATTAGCTGAGTCAGGCTTGATTTTTAATAATCTTTTCCTGTTAAATTAATAAATCAAATCAAATCAACAATTGTTTGGGCTGCTATTTATTTTATGAGATATTACATGTTATAATTTGGACGATCACGTGACTTGGCCTGAATTGTTTACGTCTGTGACAACAGGCCAAGTCACGTGATCGTCCGAAATTATAAAGTGTAATATCTCACAAACTATAGCAGCACAAACAGTTGTTTCAACGGCACAAACCTACTCAAACAAAGCACTACAAAATTCGACTAGTTTGGTTTATGTTTGGTTCATTTTGGAYCGAGCGGGTGGGATGATGACCCCTGAATGACCCTTACAAATAATCTTTATTAAATAAAAAACCATAGCAGCACAAACGACAATTTCAAGTGCACAAACGTGCACAAACGAAGCGCTAACCACTTATCTTATTAGCCTTTTTTTTTTCCTGTGGTTCATTTTTTTGGAGGGGTTGGCTTCACTCAGCTGATCTTGTCCCATCACCCCATCACTGCTATGTCATTAGCTTGTTTGTGTAAATGCTGAATCAGCATCTTAGAACATTCGTGCAGACAATTGACATCCAACTTTTAATTTTCCATTTTCAAAAACAAACAAACAATGTTCTGTTCACGAATTACAGGATCCCATTTTGTCAGGATGATGATTGAATAAGAACTGAAGCTGTTTTCAGAGAATTCGAGTGTCGGTAAATTCGGTTCTGAGAAATAGTTTTGACCTGTTTTATTCTACCTCTGTTAGAATTTGCTTCCTCTGAGATGAATTGTAATTTTCTTTTAAGGTTGTTGGGCTAAAAGCATTATATATATTGTAATTTCCTTTGATCCTTTGCTAATTCACTTTCTGGCCATGTCATTCAGCTCTTTATATGGTCATTCAGCTCTTTATATGTCTAATGGAGGAATTCCTGGAAAAAAAGAATTGACATTACTTTAACTGCAGCGAAGCTGTAATATTAGAGAACCATTATTTAAAAAATCAGGGGGGTAGCGTATTTGCACAATTACAGCAAGCACTTCAAGAACGAGTCAAGCATCCAGTGTTTTCTATTTTCTAGGAGGAAAAAAAAGACACTAATGGGTAATTGTCTCTGCAGCTTATCTTCATTAAACAGGAAAACCCAGTGTGTGCAATACTCTCTCACAGGTGCACAGATTACTCAGAAGCCAGAAGAAGTGAGCAGGTACAAATAAGGKTGAATGCAGCTGTATTTGGGTGAACTCGAGGTTGTGGGGGGGAGATGCACATTAAGGCGGAAACGAACATGAATGTTATTGGACGGGCCGGGCAGCGCTGTAACCAGGCAGGGAGCAGCTGTCAGGATGTGTGTGGAGGAGCCTGCGTCACTGAGAGATAATTCTGAGAAGGAGGCWGAAACTCCAGCATCGGCTCTCCTCCTCCAACCACCACCACCACCACCCTACCCACTCAGCACTCTCCACTCCGGACGTTTGCTCCCTCTTTCCGTCTCCCATTTTATCACTCAGATGCTCATCATCACTCTATCTCACATCCTTTCCATTTAAGAACCACCATGTCCCAGCTTCCTCTTTATTCTTGAGCTGTATTTCTAAAGTAACAGGTATATGTGAGCAGTACCGAGAAACTAATTAGAAAATTGCAAATAGAGACTCATTTCAGAACCAGTTTTGAGCTRYAAAGCTATGAGTTTAATTTAAAGTAGCCTAATAGTGACTTTTAGAGAAAGCACTACAAAATCACTGTGTTGCATCAATGCTGTAACATTGCATCTACATTTTAATCTCAGTGAAATAGACATGTCACAATGGCTAGAAGGTTCTAAAATAGTACATTTGAAGACAGCAATCTACCTAAATTGTATTGCACCATCCGTGCTGCAACCTACACTCTAAGAAATGAAATATTGGATTTAATTAACCATGTTATGTCAACTGGTTCCATTTAACTAAGTTGAGGAAATCCAAAGCATACCCAATTTCTAACCAAAGAATTTGAGTATGTTGCTTTGAACTTACTCAACTCAGTTAACCAGTTGACATAACATGGTTAAGTAAATCCAACATCTGTTTTTTAGGGTGTAAAAGCTCTTCAGACGAAATGACATGATGCAAAAGTGATACTGTGGTAAAATCATGATATAAAATTCCTTTAAAGGGCCAATATTA